AGATATAATTGCAGAGTGACAGAACAGCATGTCCTCTGTCCTTATAGTCCTTAGAAAGATACCTACCCTCTCTGACTTCTTTGCAATCAAAGAAACATTGAGAAGAAAAAGAAAGCTAAGGGTGAATGAATCCTCTGGTTAGTATCTGGATTTAAGTTTTAAGTGTTCCTTAGAGTAGGTTAAAACAAGATTACTGTGATATGGCTACAATGACAAAGAGTATGTGAAATCACTCTGTGACCCCTGTGTGTGTGTGCACCTCTAAAAAAGGGTACTCAGGACAACTTAGTATTGGAACATGACAAGAAAAAGGCCCACCACCATAACAAGGAGTTGGCATCTGCTGCCAGCTTACTCTGAAATTGGGCTTTCCTTGGAAGCAGCATAAATGCTGTTCCAAAATAAATATTAAAACACGAGGAAAAGGAATCTATGTTCATGATTCCTGTCTCTACAGTATTGTCACCACTCTTCCAAGCAGTGGGAAGGATTCTGACTCAGAGACAAGTTTATCCAGTGAGTATCTTCTTGTAGTAAAGCATGTTCAGCTTGCAAAGTGATGAATTCCTGGAGCTGTAAAAGTCAGCTGCATCATCCTGAGGAAGAAGATGCAAGGACAGAATCCAGTATTGATAGTCCAAATACAATAATCTGCTGAATTTAGCAGGTTTTAGTACAGAACTGAAATAGTATTTTCTATATTCCAACTTCAATATTCCATATTGATTAAAAGGACTTTGCTTGTCAATGACCATAGGATCCACCAGTGTGAATGCCCAGACAGATCTGATTGAAAAAAGGATTGTTTTAAACCTCTGACAAGCATCCAAGGAAATCTGCAGAGCTGACTCAATGGATGTAAATACTAGAAGGTATTTTTTAAATTGGCACTAATAGGCAAGAAAAGACAAAAGAAAAAAGGCAAAACAGAGAGAAGAAAATAACTTGCTGTGCTAGAGCCAAGGATACTGAGGGCTGAAGAGATGGCTCAAGTTTGTTCTTTGGTGTCACTTGCATTTTAAGCCACAATACAGAGGCTATGTCAGACATTCATTACTCAATATAAAGACAAGGAGATCCCTCAGTCCCCAGGCAGTAGTGTCTGGCAGTGCCAGATGTGAACAGAAAAAGATACCCCTTTGGGTACTTTGAGAGAAACCCAAGCTGGTCTTGGTATCTTCAGCTGTTAGAATGTAGCTCCACCATGAAGCATAAAGCTGTCAGTGTTCAGAAACCACATGATCCTGGAGTTTCAATTACAAACCACGCTTCCAGCAGCAAAGTAAAATAACAGCAAGCCACATATTTCACTATCTAAGCTCACTATCCAAGTGAGCTTTGCTCTGATAGAAGGCAATGCAGTGTCAGACTCTAGTATAATCACCAGTTAGGAAATGGATCTCAAAGCCCTCATGAAGCTCTAGCCTCCTGTGTCACATCTGAGGTACTCTGATACTATTAGCATGATAAATTATTGTTAATTTGATTCTGCCTAAACCCAAATGTGAGTTCTTTCTCTTTAGCACAGGAGTAAGGACTTTCAAGGGAATATGGGATGCATGCTTTGCTTGAGCACAGGCAATGACATCAACTCTTACATGATACTGTTTACATACTCTGTAGTGAGCACTACAATTGATCCTTATATTTGCAATGCTTCTGTAGCCAAGGAAATATTCTCCTTAATGCTAAGAGACCAGCAGAAAGTTTTAATTTAGGAAATCTGTCCAACAGTTGAAATTGAGCTGTTTATCATGCTGCAACTTCTCTTCATCCTCTTTTGGGATCACTGGTGCTGAGCTGGAAGTAAAGCCAGGTTCTTTTCCTCGCCAATGGGAATAAAGTCAGATTGCTGCCAACACGACAGGGAGGTGGCTGTACAGCATAAAGCATGCCAGGCAGGCTTTTATAACACTTCCTCCCTTATCTTCAGCATGGCTCATAAGGCAACCAGCAGTTACTATGATACCCTTGCACACAATGACCCCCATGGCCCCAGATTAATGCAAGCAGATCACAACTCTTGGAAATTATGAAGTGCTAAAGCTGAAGGCAATGCTGGCCAGAGGCAGCACCATTTAACTGCACTAGTCCTGCTCCTGTAACTACCTAAATTCTAATCCTCATTATTCTGGAAAAGATTGTTCTCTGGTAGCAGGCATTGGTTTTGTTCCATTGTGTACCAGTGAAAAACAGATGCCAGCTAGGAAGCTAGATTATCTATTTTTATACATTTAGGTCAATTGTCCTTTGAATCGACATATCTAGAGAACAAGATAAGAGGATAATTTTTTTTCCTATTCCAAATTCAGCTTTCACTATCTTTCTGTTTTAATTTTTGTATTGCTTTATTTAAGAATATGAAATAGTGAGAAGAGGTTATGCAGAATGTGCCAAATTCCAGCATAAAAAAGTCCACTATGTTTTTTTGTGTCTTTTAAAATTAAATGGTTGTCACAGTGTTACATCCTCCTGGTCACAGATTGTACATTTAGTGTAGTACCAGTTACAGAGCACTGATATAACCTGGCTATCTACTGCAGGACTGAATATTTAAATACAGCACAAGAGCTGGTTCCAACACAAACACTGGCAAAAGAAAGACCGGGCTGGTGCGGTTGCTGACAAGTACTGGAAAAACTTAGCTCATGCTCAGATTTCAGAAATGCAATTAATTAATCACTATTAAGTATCCTAAAATCAAGTCAGCCATATCCCAGCTAATAGTCCACAATATAATGTTCACAGCATGTAAGTATCAGGCAGTGAAGATGCTCATTACAGTGCCAGAAATAATATTTCCAGCAAAACATTATATATAAAGATGAAGTAATTATATGGCATGGCAACAAAAAGAGCTGTATAGATTACAGCTGAATTGAAAATCTGTGAGAATCTATTTCCAAAAAATACTATCCAAAGCTGGAGATATATAAGCAGTAAAGGATTAAGCATATTTCCTCACTTCATATCACTGAGGGATATATTTTGCCTTTGATATATATGTCAAATATACACAAACCATATATAATTACATTGCAACCAAGACAGGAGACAAAAATGCACCAATGGAAAACAACACCCTTTTGTTCATCTTCAGGAGAGGGCAGTTTGTAAAACACTGCTCATAATACATGTTAAAAATACCACAAAAATCCTTTAGGATTACAATTTTACAAGCTTCCTATTCTATTAGCTATACACAATGGAGAAGTGGAAACCAGAAATTAGACTCACATTTAAACAAATGTAGTTGGAGAAGTACCTTTAATAAATAAAGAACTCCAAAGCCCACAGCAGCTTCAGTAGAGGGCAGGAACTGACCATTATGACAGAAAATGAAAAAATGCAGTGACATATTTGCTTGTATTTACACCATGCTGCAGGACTTAAAGTGTCATTGAAAATCCATTCAAATTAACAACTCCACAGTCATCACTTTTGCAGACAGTAATGAACCTTAAGTGAACCTGTGTGAATGTATTCAAAACTGCTTTGTTTTTGGCATACCTTTGTAACTCTGAACTAGATATTATAATGGCTATTGACTTGCTCAAACTTAGATTATTAGGCTAGATTTTCAGCTGGTTGAACTGGCATCATTCCAATGATGTCCATTTACACCAAATGGCTCATTATTAATTCAAGGTCTTATTTGCTCCTTAATGAATACTTCCACTAGTCACCTTCCCAATGGCAGCTTTAAATGCTCAAACTTCACTTCCATGGTCAGAATCATCATACTCAAGAACTTAGTTATAAAAAAAAAAGCTTTTTCTCTCCTTTTGTGAGGCATACTTAAGGTAAACTTTTTAATCATTTACAAAACAAACTGAAATACCTCCTGTGCCATAATTAACTAACTAGAATTATGCTTTCATACAGCATCATTTGCATATAAATATAAAAATTTTACAACCCTAAGGGGACATTACGGATGAAACAAAATAAGAACGGAATTAAACAGCTAAAGGGACAACACAGCTCTCCATAACAAGCCTGCTTTGCAGCCTTGTCCTTTTTCTTACTTATTGTTATTTCTGCCTGTACTAATTAATATATATTTTCCTTGTCTGCTATTTTAAGATACTATGTAGATTTAAAAATTTTTATTTGTTTGGTCTTTCCAGTTCTATGATACTACCTCTGCATTTTAAAACAAATCACAATGCAAACATATCACTAAGCTGGTGCATCTTCCTTTAGTGTATTACAGAGGTCAGAAACACAATTACCAAATATACAACAGTCTTGTTTCCTCAACCAAACAACACACAAATTTTCAAAATTATTTTAAAAAATTCAAATGTTACAATTTTTCAACGGATCTCATTACTTACTTCAATGCAATATTTCACTATTAAATATACAAAGGACAGCAACCACTGATTTTCATTACTGTTGTTACTAGTATTAAGAAATTAAGTCTAAAAGCTTAAAAAAATATTTAGGAACTTAATGAAGCTGAAATATCTCAGTGAGAGCCTAAGCAACCATAATGGTAGGCTCAGTAAATCTGCTGTGACATGTGGGAGGTAAAAACTTGATTCTACACTGCTGCTGCATGGGAAAACACCCTCCCTCCAAACAGGATATACAAAAACTTCTGTGCTCAATGAGACCAACTGGAGTCCCACAAGGCTGGCATCTCACTCAGAAATTTCTAATAAACAGGTGTAGCCAAATAACACTGGAGGAAATAAAAATGAAAATACTCTATTTAAAAATCTTTTCTAGCATTGGGGTTTTTTTTATTCTGAGCACCTCTTAATGTAAACTTTCAACTAACTATCTTGACCCAAATGTTTTCAATTTGGTTGCGCCCAAAACCCACAATTAAGATACAGTAAGAATTATACAAAGAGTAGGAAATGGTAATGGTTTTCACTGTGGAAAGCTTACAATAAACCTAAGGAACAAAGCTGTGTGATTAGGTAAGTATTGATTTTCCTTAACAGGTGAACAGGCCACTTAGGATGCTTGGATATCATACTACATACCTGGAATAAATTCCACTGACCATGTCGTGCTGGAAAGAGAGCTCTGCTGTGCTGGGTCCAGCAGCTTTGGAAATAAGCAGTATGACCAAACCTCGCATCTGTAAATTGTTTCGGCTATCGTACACAAAACCCCTAAAACAGAAGAAAAAAAAAGATGTATTTTCACAATCCATGTTCACTGGTTGTACCAAAGTGGAAAAAAAGATTTAGACTTCAGGCTGCCATGCATTCATCATGTCTTTAATATTCATGCTAGCAGGAAATAAGTTGCAATTATGAATCATGACCTTTTGTCATCGTTTACCTGACACTTACAATGAAATCCTACTATTGCAGAGAAAAACAAGTATTTAGGATTTAATTAAATCTTCATTATTTTCAAGGAGCAGCATGTCTTTTGCATTTCACATCATGTACAAATCAGGTGTACCCAGTAAGCCTTGTAGCTCAGGATACAACATGCTCACAGCAACCCTGACCATAACAACATAAAAAGCAGTAGAAGGGAGATTCTATATAACTTGCCAAAGCAGAATTTTTTTTTTTTTTAGTTCAGCCCCTCAAACCCATGAAAGATTGCACTGTTCAGATCTCTGCTCAAGGGCACACTGTGGTCATGTTGCATGCACCTTTATTTTTTTTTACTGGCTACAGGTACTGAGGGATTTAAAGGAGGAGCTGCCTGCCTTTAGCATTCTGTGAGTCTGTAACCTGCATATTTCTATTCTCACAAAACACAAAAATATATTATTTGTTTCTTACCATGCTCCAATATGCAGTTAACAGAATGCAGCCAAGGTAGTTATACACTTAAAACTCTATAGATTTCCAAAGTCAGAGCCACAATGAACATTAAGCTACCCAGGAAAAAGACAGAAAATACATATAATGAATAATACATAGTGTGTATGCATCCTGTACACAGAATTCATAATTGTTTGTGGTAGAGTAAGTACTTCTCTGGCTTGAACATCCGTTAACCACATTACTCACAACCACAGAAGTTATACAGATGATGCAACTGAATTAAAATATATTTCCTCAACACTATTTAAAACTCCGTCATTTTTAAAGAAAAGCGGTTTTAGGAAAAAGTTGCTTTTTTCCACATATGTATGTGGTAAAGTCAGAGTGTATCATTAAAGGCAGCAATATTGTGGGAAATGAATAACGCTTTAATAAAATAGCAAATTATAGTGATACCCTGAACAATCAGAACACCTTACTTTTTCATGCCCGGTGTTCTACAGCTTGTCAAGTGACAGGATGTTACAAAAGTAGATATAAAAAGTGTTCATCACAGGAACATGGAGCACTGGCCTTTAAATATACCACTGCCTAGACAGACACTAGAAGTGAAGCACTTTTACCTGATTCAGACTAGGTAGGGAACAGAAGAAGAAATTACCTGTGTTGAAAATACTCAGTCTGTACCAATAGTAAAAGCAAGTGTAATGGGCTGCTCAGGGCGTTTCCAACACCACTAGCAATGAATGCCTTACATTCTTAGCAGAAAACTGTTAATGAAAAGTGCAACTCGGGGTGAGGGAAAGAACAGAACACAAAAATCAAGTAATAAGGAGCAGTATGTCTATCATTGCTACACCTAATCATACAGCCTCTGTGTTACATATGGCTTGGATGTAATTTTAGACAGGATTTTCTATGAATTACCAACCAGTAGTCAAAGTTTAACTCCATTTTCAAAATATGTTGTGCTACTGACATGTAACATATCCACACTAAAGCAAACCGCATTAGACTTGAAACAAATAAAGCCTCCGGTGATCATCCTTTAGACACTAGAAACTACTGCAGCTACTTGACATGGCTTCAGGGGTCACATTCACATTCTGAATTAAGCTCCCCAGAGATACCCATGCACAAGTAACAGCAACACAAAAGTCTTCCAGATGGTGCAATTAGTCTTGATGGGTATGTGGCAGGAGACAGGTGCCTCCAGGGAAAAAAGTGAACTAAAAGCAACCCAAGTGAAATTGCGAACACAGAAAAAGATACATCAAGCTGACAGCCTTTTGGAAAACCTCTGCTGAACAACACAAGTGCATGCATAGGGTACCCAAAAAACCCCCTCAATCATTAGCACAATTTTGCTTCCTCTTAAGTTTACAGGCTGGGTATCTGCAAATGACATACTTCATCCCCCGGGGACTGTCTACCAGAAAAAGGTAGGAAAGTCAAACACCTCTAGGATTCCGTTTTGGAATTCAGAATTTGAGGGAGGGAAAGGCATTTACTCTAGATATTATCCGTGTGACAGAGTAACCCGGTTGAAAACTGGCAGATTCACAGTTTTAAATACAGCACAGCGTTTACAAAAAGAATTCCAAGCTCCAGCACAAGGGAGAAGCGCCTGGCTCCGACACATGCGCGGTGTGACACCGCCCAGGCACAGGAGACTCTCACCGCCCACTCAGGCAGTGACACCGGCTAATAGCTAATGTGCTGCAAATTACACCTCCCACCACCAGCGTCCGTCTGCTGCACAGAATAAATCACGCAAACGCTTCGCTTAGTACAGCTTTGTGTATTGCTCCACACGTGCAGCTATTTGAGTAGAATTGTGACCTCCAATAACTGTCAGGTTTAACTCCGCCGGTAATTTATACTTTTCTTAAAACAAAAATCTGCTATTCATTGCAAGCTTCATTTGTATTCAAATACCATAAAGATTTAAAAATTATTTGCATGAGACAAAGCCACGTTCCTAGCACCTTTTTTCATTATATTAAACTGTGAATTTAAACAATAGAGAGGAAACATGGCAACTGTAACAATTACCGTAAAGAAGAGCTGAGAAGAGCTGGACATAGAGGTAATTTAATGGTACCAAAAGGCAGCCAAAAAAAAATAAAAAAAAAAAAAACCAAAACCAAAAACAAAAAACCTGTACAGGCAACTGTAAAGTTAACTGACTTTGCAACTGGGTGTAGCAGAAGAGACCCATATTCATGGCTACTAGTGCCAATTCAAATTTAATTATGAAGAATGCAGAACAAATTTCCTAACAAAACTGATGTGATACGATATTTTGGGAGGAACAAAAGGGTGTTTTCAAATGTTTACCTAAACGTTGTTAGTATTTGCCAAAAGTTCTGCTCGTGACCCAAGCAAACAGGAGCTGGTGGGGCTTGCAGCCCTTTCATCAGTTACCCCACAGGAGCCCCTCCATCCCCACCCAGGCGCGTTTGGCGGCCACGGGACTGCTGGCAAGGGTTGAAGCGGAGAGATCACTGTTCTCCTCACCTCCTCTGGTGATCTTTACCCTTCCTTCCCATGCATTCTGTGGAAGGTGTCCCACTGACAAGACCAATCGTTTTGTTTCAGGCCATAAGCAAGCCCCTTGTAGTTAACAACGGAAAGGAAAACAGAGGAATTCCATTCCCCTACCTTCCCAGTTCAGCTGTCAAACAAAAGGAGGGGGGAAAAAATGATCTGTCCACACAGCTCTAATAAAAAGCAGCTGGGAAAGTCTATAACACAACCAAAATCAATTAAACTGATGAAGAAGATTTATAAGCACAGGATAGTGCCATTGAAAGCCCAGGCTAGTTTTAGGCTGAATTACAAACTATTCTGAAAAAGAAACCCCTGAATTCAAACTGACAATCCCAGATGTGACAATAAAAACAGAGTTTTCAGTCTGCAACCTCTCAGGAAAGTACCTTCCATTTCGCTCAATATAGAAGGGTTATCAGGATGCATTCATAGTTACAGGTGCAGGTACCTTTTAAAAATAACACAACCCATTTTGTCAAAATTAATTATAACAGACAATTCTATAGCTATCACTAGAGGTAAGGCATGGAGCTACTTGGCAAGATTCTTGGCTTTCTTATTAGAAATGCAAGAAATACCAGCCTCAGGGCTTTTATCCAATTTGCTATATTAATGACTTGTCAGAAGTAAATAAGAGAAAACTCTCTGACATACTAATTTTTTAAATGGATGTTAAACCACTGTATTATTGATGTGCATATCTGAATCATAGGATTCACCATCTGACCATATGATCACACTCAACCATGCATATATTTAAATACTGAGAACAATCAAAGTTATATATTTGGTATATGCTAACAGCAATCTATAGCAACTTGTTTTCACTTGCTACTCAAGTTCAAGTATTTATTAAACATCCTTCTGCATATCTCTCCAGAGCATATTAAAAACCCTGGCCAATTCCAACCTCCACAGCCAGGTCTGCAAAGGAGAATCAGCCTTGTCATGACATTTGCTCTGAGCATGATTCAGAAGGGGAGAGGAGACAAACTCACTTGACATGGAGAGAACAGGATTAAAAAATGGGATTCAAATTAAACAGCTGACAGGAAATTATAGAATGAGAGATGCTCTGCCACCCACATGCCATCTCAACTCGAAAGCCCACTAGAGTCTGCCAATGAGAATGTGTGTTTTAGAAAGTTATTCTTGTGTTTGGACAAATAAACATTTCTTTGCATAGGGAAAATGAGTATTGAGGTTTGGGGAATTTCCTTACCTGAAAAACAGTCTTGTGAAAAATGGGACGGGGCTCAACACCATTTTGTAAGTACCTGGTAATTAAAGGGTTTACCCCATAAGGGCAGACTTGTGCAGTGAGTCATGCCAGGCTTGGAAGAATTGACATTCCTGTCCCACTTTGCAGGAATATGCTCTTAGACCAGGTTACAAGGGGGTCTTTAACATCTCCCCTGCTCCACCAGCGTCTGAGAAATAAGGGGGTCTCACTCCATTAGCTTTGTGAAGTTAGTCACAAAGAAAGGCAAGATTTCACATACCAAACACCAAACAAAACTCTGGTGTGAAGAAGACACGGACCTGTCTCTGCACTAGCTTTTCATCCAAAGGCAAAAAATTTAAAAAGGTAATTTAGAAGTGTGGCTTTCACTTATGACACAAGGAAACCTTTTACTAACTTCAATGGTTATGTGGTGTGATGCTTGGAGAGTTAAAAGTAAGTCAACAGTAACTTAGTCATGTGAAAACAAGAATGGTTGTGGTCCTGTGAGGAAGTACTTGCCTGAAATTTATGGGCTCATAGCTACACATCTACAGGCAGAGTCACTGAAAAACTAATACAGAAAACATTGTTGCTATGCTTTCACTTG